GGGGGGGGGGGGGGGGGGAGCGGACAGGTGACTCCCTGCTCCGCGGCGATAGGCTGGCTTCTACGCAGGGAGATAGGGTTTAGGGTTTATTAAAAGTATATTTTGCTTTTGTATTGTATTTTAATTATAAACTTTCTTTATTTCATGTATACATACACAAAAAAGGACGATTTCCTTCCCTCTTTCTTGTATTTCTTCCCTCGAGGGTTTGTCCATCGGGGTGACTTCCCCCGAGGGTCTAATTTAAACCCTTAAATAACTCTAAACTACCCCTAAAATCCTAACACAAAAATAAAAACACCAATTAGGGGTTTAGGGTTTAGGGTTTAGGGTTTTGAATAGTAGCTCTCAGGCGGCTGACGAGACCGCCGCCTATATAACCGTAAACCCTTTTGTTTGCCGGTGTGCCGTCTTATATTTTGTAACCCTAAACCCTAAACTCTAAACCCTCAACTAGTGGCTCTTTGCATGCATGAATGCATAGACCACATGCGGCTTGTCTCGCTGTAGCGTCTCTCTGGCCGTATCGATATCTAAACCCTAAACCCTAAACCCTAAGGCGCTAGGGGCACTTTCATATGCAGCAAAGGTAGCAACTGTTGCTGCTGAAGCAACAGTTGCTACCTTTGCTGCTGCTGCTGCCACAAGGGAAAGCTGCGTTTGCTGCTGCTGCACTGTGAGTTGCCCCAAGGGTTGAGCTGAGGGTTTAGCTGATCGCCTAGGCTCTAGAAGGAATTCGCTGAGGGTTTAGGGTTTAGGGTTTTGGAGAAATCATATACAGCCCGACAAGTCTGTGTAGGGTTTAGGGTTTAGGGTTTAGGAATTACGCTGGGGATTTAGTTGAACAAATAACAGCAGCAGCCATCTATGCTGCTGCTCGCGCCGGCGTCGTACGCTGCCGATTTTCTAGGGTTTAGGGTTTAGGGTTTAGGGTTTGTACTGCCCAAAGGAGTAGGTATTCCTTGTAGGCTCTTTGGCCTTGGCACAACAAAACAAACCCTAAACCCTAATAAACAAAACACCTGTGACTAAACCCTAACATACCACAAACCCTAAACCCTCTAAACCTTAAGCCCTAAACCCTAAACCCTAAACCCTAGCACTAAACCACAAACCCTATATCATGCGTCCTAGACATGAATATGGGTATGCAGCAGGCTGGTGTATTGGGGTTTAGGGTTTGTAGGGTTTAGGGTTTAGGGATACCATTGTGTGGGCGCAATTAGATCGTAGAGAAGAGCAGCATCCCTGCTGCTGCAGCAGCAGCAGCAGCAGCAAGAGGAGGCAGCAGCAGCGGGGAGACACCAGAAGCAGCATGCAGATCAACACCTCTTGCTTTTCTTTCTAAGAAAGATTCATATTGTTCAGCACTGCAGCAAAACACAGCAGCGACACAAACAATTAACATTCCTGCTGCTGCTGCTGCTGCTGCTGTTGCTGTTGTTGCTGCTGCTGCTGCAAGTATGGCTCCACCAACAGCAGCAACAACAGCAGCACATACCCACAGCAGCCTCTCTCATCACCAGCAACACCATAAGCAGCAGCACCAACAGCACCATCAGCAGCAGCACCAACAGCAGCAGCAGCACCAACAGCAGCAGCAGCAGCAGCAGCAGCAGCACCAGCAGCAGCATTAGCTTACGAGAGTATATTTTGTCCAATAGTAGGTAAAGGTTCAAAGAAACAAAGAAGGAAATTAAATTGAGGACAACCATGAGAAAAAGAACAACCTATTTTGCTGCTGCTGCTGCTCAGCAGCAAACTACATATATATCCTGCTGCAGATAATTCTTCATTAAATAAAGGAGGAGGGGAACTGCAGCAGCAACAACAGCAACAGCAACAGCAACAGCAGCAGCAACAGCAGCAACAGTAGGAACAGCAGCAGCAACAATGGGAGAAACAGTAGAAAAAGTAGTAACTGTAGCAACAGCGGAAGGAGCAGCGGTTTAGGGTTTAGGGTTTAGGGTTTAGGGTTTAGGGTAGGGTAAGTGCAGGAAAAAGATACAGATAGATACAGCAACAGCAGCAGCAAAGGAGGCAAAAGTATTAATAAAGGAGACAAATAGAAGTAAATAAGGGAAAAAAAAGAAATAAATAAAGGAGACAAAAAGGAATAAACAAAGGAGACAAAAAGAGACAAAAAGAGACAAAAAGGAGACAAAAAATGGCGACAAAAAAGGAGACAAAAAAAGGAGACTAAAATAGGCAAAAAAAAGGAGACAAAAAAGGCGACAAAAAAGGAGACAGAAACGGAGACAGAAAAGGAGACAGAAAAGGAGACAAAAAGAGAAGGGAAAAGGAAGAAAAAGGAGGCAACAAAGGAGACAAAAAGGAGACGAAAAAGGAAACAAAAAAAGAGACAAAGAAGGAGGCAAAAAAAGAAAAAAGGAAGAAAAAGGAGACAAAAAAGGAGACAAAAAAGGAGACAAAAAAGGAGACAAAACAGGAGACAAAACAGGAGACAAAAAAGGAGACAAAACAGGAGACAAAACAGGAGACAAAACAGGAGACAAAAAAGGAGACAAAAAAGGAGACAAAAAAGGAGACAAAAAAGGAGACAAAAAAGGAGACAAAAAAAGAAGAAAAAAGGAAGAAAAAGGAGACAAAAAAGGAGACAAAAAAAAGGAGACATACCTTCCCCATTCCCTAACACATTCATCAAAAGTTTGTTCAACAAGAAGAAGACAAGGAGGGACTGTCTCCTCAAATCGTAGCAGCAGACCCCCTACCTGCAGCAGCAGCAGCAGCAGCAGCAGCAGCAGCAGCAGTAATAGCAAACACACTAGTAAATAAAACAACAAGACCCCATCATCATAGGGTTTAGGGTTTAGGGTTTAGGGTTTAGGGTTTAGGGTTTATATCTTTTCCTGTACTTGTATTAGCTTATTCGCATCCATTTTTTTGCGAACGCTTTAGGGTTTAGGGTTTAGGGTCTAGGGTTTGAGGGTTTGAGGGTTTAGGGTTTAGGGTTTTACATCTTTTCCTGTACTTTTATTAGCTTGTTCGCATCCATTCTTGGCTAGATTTTTTATTGTTTTTCTTGCTTTATCCCCAATTATTTTATCAGCAATTAATCTATTTAATGGGGAAGAAAGTTCTGCTGTCCTAAATATATTTATTTCTTTATAACATTCTATAAATAAATAAATAAATAAATAAATAAATAAATAAATAAATAAATAAATAAATAAATTTAATTATAATTAAATAAACAAGAGGTGCATGCACAACGGAGCAAAAAACAACATACATAGGGAACAGGAATATAAAGAATATATACATCCGTATAAACACTAGGGTTTAGGGTTTAGGGTTTAGGGTTTAGGGTTTAGGGTTTAGGGTTTACGACTACCCTTCAGCACAGTAGCAAAATATCCATCTTGTTTAGATCAATAATGAATAGGAGCATTAAGTCTATACCCTCTACCTTCTTCCCTCCACTATTTACTACTCACAATTCATCAATTAGGGTTTAGGGTTTAGGGTTTAGGGTTTACCTTTTGGTACACTAGCAAAATATCCATCCTGTTTAGACCATGAATGTATATTAGGATTAAGTCTATCTACCATCTACCCATCTACTATTCACTATCTATCCTCTACAATATACAAATTAGGGTTTAGGGTTTAGGGTTTAGGGTTTAGGGTTTACCTTTTGGTACACTAGCAAAATATCCATCCTGTTTCGACCATGAATGTATAGGAGCATTGAGACTATCTACCCTCTACCTGCATATTGTTCACTATATATCCTCTACAATATACAAATTAGGGTTTAGGGTTTAGGGTTTAGGGTTTAGGGTTTAGGGTTTAGGGTTTACCTTTTGGTACACTAGCAAAATATCCATCCTGTTTAGACCATGAATGTATAGGAGCATTAGGGCCTGCAGGTAGGAGGGTTGGACTCCCGCTGAAGTCCCTGGCACTTAGCTGCGGTGTATTTTTTGTTGCTAAGGCGAAGGATTTATAAGGACATAATAGCAGCAGCAGCAGCAGCAGCAGCAGCAGCAGCAGCAGCAACATATTATTATTTCTGGTGTTACTATTATATATACCATCACTATAAATAACATTCTTCTTCTTCTTCTTATTATTCTCCTTATTAGGGGTAACATCATCATCCTCTCCCTGCTGCTGCTGCTGCTGCTGCTGCTGCTGCTGCTGCTTGGTGTTATTATGCTGCTCGTTGGATAAATGTTGGTGTTTATGCTGAAGGGGTTGATGGTACTCATTGTGTTGTTGTTGTTGTTCCTTCTCCTGCTGCTGCTGCTGCTGCTGCTGCTGCTCATTGTGCTGCTGTTGCTGCTGCTGCTGCTGCTGAAATTGTTGCTCTTGTTGTTGTCGTTGCTGCCGACGCTGCTGCTGCTGCTCAAGTTGCTGTTGCTGCTGCTGCTGCTGCTCAAGTTGCTGTTGCTCAGACACAGAGGGCAAGGTTAGCTGCTGCAGCAGCATCGCCTGCTGAATCAATCGCATATGCCCCATAGGGTTTGTTAATCAACAACCCCACCCT